GGGACTCTAACTGATGTCAGTTCATGGTGAAATCCTCCAAACAATCAAACAAAATCCCCTACGAAAACCATTACTTGAAAATGGGTCTGATGCTCACTAGCAACTGCAACTATTCAGGCAGTTACCAGGAGTTCTAGTGGGAAGCTGTGACCAGTAGGGTACAGCATGTCGACAGGGAGGAAAAATACTCGCCGAAGGCATTGGCTTGTGGTTGCGAGATGTCGTGAATTGGCAGAATTTAGAATTCATTGACTGGATTGGGTCCCAGTGGATTAATGGTCTACGAGCTCACTAGACTTGAAACCAGAAGGTCCTGGGTTCAAACCCTGGTGGATGAAGAGTCCCAAACTAGGACGAAACAGTCGGCTGTTCAGTACTCCCAGGTTTTCTAATGGTTCTCTAACCGATGTCAACTCACGGTGAAATCCTCTAACTGTTTAATAATTACAAGGATATGTCATTTTCTACAGAATAGTAATTACCACTAAGCTACTACTTGTACAAGCATGTTGTGTGGACGAGTGTTCATAAATATTAGTGCCAGATGCAATGTGTACTAACTGAAAATCGTTTTCACTATTCAGCTGATACTTTAGTACAGTTTGACTAATATTACTGCATACATAGTTTAATGATTACCTTGTAAACATGAAGACAATCCTGAATGATGGACCTGATCAGCTTATAACTTAAAGGTTCTTGATCTATTCGTTGTAAGATTTGAAGGCTTATATTACAGAAGTGCTTCATTCTATGGTAAGATGAATGACCAGTGTTTCATCGTTTAAAATGGCCCCCTCAAATGATGGTAGTTCTTAAAGACACCTATATGAAACTCATTAGACCTTCATAAATCTGAATTCTCTGTTCATGAATATGTTGTATGTTTCAAATTGTACTTATCTTATGAATATATGCCACTAAAAGCTTCGTGAAGACCAATAAATCACAAAAGCTTAAACTATGGAATCTATGAGTTAGCATTATTCAAAAATTCGGTCCTAAAGCTACAGTGTATTGCTTAATAATACAAGGTTAATGAAAATTCTTATTATTTGTTAGAATTCTCCAAGAATCAGCGTCAGTTAGAGAGATCATTAAAAACTAAGGAGAAATGAAAAGCTGTTTCATCCAGTTTTAGGAATTTTCAGTAGTAGTACACACTCATGACCTTACCAGTTATCAAACCCACTACCACTAGGTTACGAGTTCAAGTTTGTACTACCTGGTTTTCGATGATTTCTAAATAATCCTGTTTCAGAACAAGATTTTGAGCGAACAATTATTTTCGATAACTTCTTCTTCTTCAGGCTCTACAGTTATAAATCCATGAATAATAGAGTACATATAGCCAATAAAGGCAAATGAAAATAATAATATCAGAAACTGTATTGGGGTGCATGTGTAAGTTGAGATGATAGTCCATTAGTTAACATAGTCAATCAAATGTGTAGAGGGTGTATAGTCAGAAAAATGTGATGAAGTGTGAATTTAGAACAACACATTTAAGCGAACAATATTGTTTTCAATTAGATCTCATCAGGCTTAACTCTAATATATATAAGTTTACAAATAAAATTCAAATATAAACCAATCATGGTGTTTTGTCTATAGGATAATACGATGGTGAATATAAATTGTGCAATTAATCATAATAGTAGTAATGATAATAATAATAATGGTCTTATCAATAATAAGGATGAAAAAGTGAGGCAATCTGTGATAACACGAATAATGAAAAACGGCATGATTAAATAAACAACTGTTCAGGTGGAAGTAGTCGATAAAGGCTAGTAAAAACAAATGAACCGATTAAGTAATGTTAGATTGTAAGGGGAGGAAATGAAACACGTTTATAATGAAGATAAGATTAAGGGATGATAAGAAAGGGGTTGAAAATATACACAAAGGGTGGTGTAGAAGTCATTAGTTGGTTATGTCTTAATAGGCCAGGGGAGGTATAATGGCTGTACGAACTTTTTTTGAATACATAGTTTAGGTTTAGTACTTCAAATGCCTATCGCCTCAGCTGTGTGCAGTAAACGAAAACGAAGTCTAGTGGAAAGATTCGGTTGGTTGCGGCGAATTACTTAGAAGGCTCTCGTTTTCGCGATTACATGACCGCTATCAATTAAGTGTGACAAAACTGAGCTACGGATTGTTTTCGTCTGTCCTTTGCCAATTGGGTGATATAGTGCTGTTTTATAGTCAACAGGATACAAGTGTCATCGGGGTGAGAGAAATGCGATAACCACAAAATACATACAAACACACATTAACAAAGGGGACACTGAATGTGAGGGCTGACCGATTATGTCTAATGGTAAAATAAAGGGGCTAAATTGTAAATTGGAATAAGATGTTACAGAATTGGTAGGCTTAGTATAAAATCACAAAGGTTGACAAAAAATTAAGGGTAACAATGAGGTGAAATAAACTGGATGGAGAAATGGATAATAAAGACATGATATCACAAAATGATAATATTGATACGAAAAATTACGATCCTGGTGACCTTATAGTTAGCCAGGATAGACAGAGAGAGTGAATAAGTTTTTTCTGTACACATAGGTCTGGTCTCTCTCTATTAATCTCTAAAGCCCCAGCTATGGCTAGGAGGAGTAATCGTGTGCCTTTGGGGAGATTGTTTGGTACTCGATAGACAACTGTAAATGACTCCTCTACTTTGATGCTGTGTTCGCTATCCACTAGATGAGACAGAATTGCACTATTTAATGATTTGGCTGCTCTTTTCCCAAGCCAAACAGGAATATGTTCACGAGTGCGTAAAGATAAATTCTTTTGGGTACGACTTATATAACTAGCTCCACAGGAGCAGTTGAATTTATATACACACACTGATGTCGCCATTTTGGATAATCTATCTTTAATGCCCAGTGTCAATATCGATTTAGTTGAGAAACTGACATGCAGTTTTGCGGCATTAAAAGTTCTTTCAATTGATCTCATTAATCTACGGTTTAATATATCGCTGGATATATCGCCTTTGAATTGTACATTTTCTTACTCACTGTGCCTCGCTTAGTTTTATGTGCATTTTCATAGATATACTTCTTTACAAAGTTGGTAGGATAGTCATTTTGTAGCAAGGCGTTTGTAAGATTTATTATTTCATCTTGAATACAATCGTCGGTACATATGCGTCTAATTCTATGGCTAAGACAACGGATTAGGTTGCGTTTATATTGTATAGGTATGAAGCTATGGAAGTGGGTGGTTCCCTTTCTTAATGTGTATTTGTATGTATTTTGTGGTTATCCCCAATGACACTTGTATTCTGTTGACTGTAAAACAGCACTACATCACCCAATTGTTCATTCACACTTCATCACATTTTTCTGACTATATACCCTATACACATTTGATTGACTATGTTAACTAATGGACTATCATCTCAACTTACACATGCACCCCAATACAGTTTCTGATATTATTATTTTCATTTGCCTTTATTGGCTATATGTACTCTATTATTCATGGATTTATAACTGTGGAGCCTGAAGAAGAAGTTATCGGAAACAATTGTTCGTTCAAAGTCTTTTTTTGATTTCAATATGGGGATTTTTCACTTACTAATACTGTTTCAGTAAATTGAATATTCCCATAATTTATTCACAACAAAATATTTCTGAGCGAACAATTGTTTTCAATAAATTCTTCTTCAGGATCTACAGTTATAAATCCATTAATTTAAGCATACAATAGCCAGTAAAGGCAGATTAGAATCATATCAGAAAGTGTATTGTGGAACAAGTATAAGATGGGATGGAACAATAGTCAGATTGTCTTTTAATATGCATGGTCAATGAGAACATGGGGCAAAATGAGATGAAGTAATTTAATTTAATGTTGTGTGTATATATAAATATAGTCAACAGAAAAATACAGGTTTCGAGAGTGAGTGTAATCAGAATGTGTGAGACAATATGAAAATAGACCAACGAATGGGGCGGACCTGACATAAGTTCAAGGTTGAAAATAACGACAATAAGAATGATTGTGAAATAATAACGATGGTATGGTGTAACATTACAAGCACTATTGGTGAATGATTGTCAAATAATAATAATGAAGTGGAATGAACAGGATTTTGTAAATACGATAGCAAGTTAGAAAAGCATTACTTAAACCTAAGGTAATAAAATCATAAGAAAGGTCATGAAATCATAAAGTCATAAAAGTCGAAAATGAACGTTCGTCATTGAAACAGAGGAATATAAGAAGAAGGAAAGAAAGAAAATTGTGCAAGGAATTTATAGTGTTAATGGAGGATTTGTTGGCTTTATTGTAGGCCAAGGTAAACATAGAGGTTGAACATACTTCTGTATGCAAAGACAAAGAGATGGTCTTCTGGTATTAATTGCCACCGCTTCAGCTACTGATAGAAGACGCAGTCAAGCTCCTCTAGATAAATTACTAGGAACGCGGTAAATAACTGAGAACGCCTGGTCAAGTTTTATCGGGTGACTATTGTTCCATCCCATCTTATACTTGTTCCACAATACACTTTCTGATATGATTCTAATTTGCCTTTACTGACTATTGTATGCTTAAATTAATGGATTTATAAATGTAGAGCCTGAAGAAGAATTCATTGAAGCCACAATTGTTCGCTCAAAAATATTTTGTTCTATTACTGTTTCGTGAAAAATTCGTCCAACTGAAACAGATCCAGATCCCCACAGATCTGCAAATTGTTTTCACAAAAAGCATTCTGTTGTTAGTCATGCCTTCAGTATGTTATTATGGTAGGAGAGAAACAAGTTAATCAGCTATTCTGAAAGGTGATTGGTTAGTATATATATACTGTAGAAGATGTTTCAATTTATCTCATTGGTTATATTTGACATATCGTGGGGAAAAAATCTGTACACAATGTACTGTTATGCGATCAGGTGACTAAAATTCAGGAAAATATATTACACGCTTATGAGATTTCATCTTCCTCCCCATCTTCTCTACACTGCGATGTTGGTGGCTATCGATATGTGATAGAGGGAGGAAGAGAGACTGAGAGAGAGAAGTGAGCAGTGCAGTTTTGTCTTCCAAAGTTGGATTATTATGTCAGTTTCAAGTATTTCTTTTGGATACCTACAGGATAAATTCAGTGATAACTACTCATAATCATATGCACAAAAAGCATTACGTTTAACTTTCAAAATCACTTTAATTTTCATATAAATTACAAAAAATCTTGAAGTCTTATGATTTTCCCCGCTTGAGTAATAACGGAATGAATCGAGGCTATTCGAATGATTTGTATATTCAAAACACAACATTTGACAGCAACCATTACAAAGAAAGACGATCTTCGGATACAAGCGGGATAAAGGAAAAATCGGAGTATTATTTATCTTGTGAAGAGGAGGCTAGATTGCCACAGTGTCCTTTATCCAACTCATGTATCACAGAAGCTCCAGGGAGGTGCACAGAGAGAAATCATACTGAAAGAGGCAGTGGTGAAGATGTGTCAAGAATGTGTCAAGATGTGGCCACAGCAAACAGAAAGGCAGAATCAGTAAAGCAAGACCCCCTGACTTTGAATACAATCTCGAGTGATTTAAAACATAAAATTCAAACTCCTGCAAATAACAAAGCTTCTCACATTGATAAAGGGGGTAAAAAACCCAAACATAATTCACTGTCAGAACCGTCTAGTTTCTTTCTGAAATTTCATCGGAAACGAAAAACGATCTGTGGGATGAGTCACACCTTGAATCGTTCTCATCTTCAGGATAATGCACACAAAGATTCACTTGGTTCTACGAAAGTGTTGTTTTCTCAGACTATTGGTAACAAATTCACACAGAGTAATGAGAATTCCTGTAATATACGAGAAAATCAGCAGAATCCTGATATCTTCCATTCATCTTATGTTAGATCACTTTCAACAGTGTCTTCCCCATACATAAATGATCGATTTTTATGTCGCACTAATTCCAATCTTCCAGAGACAAAGTACGACGATGATGCATATCCCTTTAAACTGTCTTATGATGCGAATAGTAGGAATAAGCCGATTTTACATTATCATCGTCACCGTCGTAAACCGGTAACGCAGCAGCATTTATCCCCTGTGCCAGCGTTGTCCCCATCCAGTTGCAGATCTAGACGTGCATTACTGAATGTCGGTGGATTTAGACATGAGATTCTCTGGCAAACTGTTGATCGTTATCCTAACACCCGCCTGGGAAGGATACGTCAAGCGACAACAATGGAAGAGCTATTAAGTCTATGCGACGACTATGATCCTGTATGTAGAGAGTACTTTTTTGATCGTAATCCAATAACTTTTTCAACTATACTAAACTTTTATAGATCAAAAGCACTTCATTACAATGATAGTATGTGTGTAATGGATTTTAAAGCCGAATTATTGTATTGGGGTGTGAATGAAGGCCTTATTCAAGCGTGTTGTTCACATCGTTACCATCAGCAGAAGGATATGATTGAAGAAGAGATACGTAAAGAGGAAATCTGTTTTCGTCAGACAACAACTGTTGATGAATTCGGATCTGGATGTTATGCAAATTTGAAAAGACAAGGATGGGATCTACTCGAAAAACCACATACATCAAGGGCTGCTAGGGTATGTTTGCTATTAATTCATTTTATTCAATTGTTTAATGTGTTTACTTAAAATATAAGCGTGAGAAATATTATTACTATTGGCTGCTTGAACTCTTAGCACAAGCTAAAGCCTCAGAGACTTATCTTCACTGCATTCTATTTTATGCCATCATTTGCAACTGACTTCAGGACTGTCCTAAAAGCTTACTGACCAGTTATCGTCATATGAAGCGAATGGGAAAGCTATTGATGAAAGTTTATTTTTATTTTTATTATTTTTATACAGCTTGACTCCACACCGTATTTTTGGTACATACATGAAATTTCCAGCGTGTGAAATCGGTAGCCCAAATTTTGCAGGCCGACCATACACATCAGGTGTGCGTCGGCGGGGGATCGAACTCCGAACCATGTGCATGGTCAGCGAGAGTCCCAACCACTGTGCCACCGTCACAGGCTGTTAGAAATGTTTTTGACAATGCGCTTTCCGATTCTCTGGACCACAAAGAAACACTGGTTGACTTGACATTACTGCAAAAATTTCGTTAGCATATTAAGCAATACTTCTTATCCAAAACACAGTTAGACTCTGTCTAACAGTTCTGTTCTTATCTGAAGGGGTACAAAATAAAATGCGGCCTTCACGACTTGTCTAAAGGTAGCTTGCTAGCATAGTGAGGGACTTGAGGTCCAGTAGTAGGGAAATGGGAATTCTACATTTCTCACTTGCTACGTCAATCCATGACAAATACATTTTTTCAGAAGTAATCACCTTTCTATAAACCGTTCAAGTGGAAATAAAGCGTAATTTCACCATGCAGAGGTTAGTCATCCTTTTGCGATTTTTGTATTACTCATCTTCTGGCATCACACTTCTAAACCCTGAGTGTTTGTAGCACAGCTGACCAACCAACCATGCAAGTGGTCCGGGGTTCGATCCCCGGCTGATGCACTCCTTTACCTTGCGAAGCTAGTAATAAGACTGGTGAAGGGGGGGGAATTTTAGGCTCGAGGCTAGCAACCTCATCCTGTATGAATAAGTACCACTGCTACAGAAACTTCAAAACTCTAGCATGAAGCCCTATGTTCCACTGGGAACGTAAAGGAATAAAATAATAATCATTAAAAATTTCGTAGTTCATTTTCACGCACTTGAATACAGCAGTACAATTTCAACCTGAAGATTCCATTTCCTATATGTTAACAGGAATTATCTTTAAGTTGACATAGTAGAATTTTGAAAGCTGTATGAAAAGAACTGTTTAAAGTATCGCCATCCCCCATCCACTCCCTCAAAGTCCCCATGTTTAGTCATCGAAGGTTAAGACAACTAAACTTCTGTTCACTCACTGCCAGAATGAATGCTCTAGTCTATATAATTTTACCATATAAGGAGTGAATATCTGAGGCCCTAAGTATTAGGATTCTCAATAAAACAAGAATAAGGGTGGCATTCAAACATACAAACTCACTCAGGTAGGACTAGCTCTGTAGGCTAAAGGACCCGGTAGACCCAATTAAACAGAATAGTATAATTTACAAAATACCTTGCAATGACTGTGATTGGGGTCAACTACATAGGTCACAATAGTAGATCGGGAGTAGTGAGATGATCTGAAGATAAGAATTTAACTAAGGTTAGAATAATTGATCCCTCGAGGATAAGTAATTCATAAAAAAACTCAGCAAACATTAACACACAACCACACAATAGGCTGGAAAAGAGTCAAAATTCTAAAGAGTAACACAGATACATGGAGAAAGAGAGAGATTAATTACTGAATCTTGGTTCATCGTTACGTTACATTTGTTACCAGATAAAAATGGTCTTATCTTACTGCGTAATAACTTAAAACAGGAAACTACGCAATTACATAGATATTTACTTAGATTTAGGAATTTTGATAAAATAACAAAAATCTGTGAAAATTCTACACTTTTGTGTAACACTTTTCATCCTTAATGGACTAGCAACTTCTAGATATGGCGAATTAAATTTTCGATTTCTGTTTTATTCAATAAATAAAATTTGATACTTCAAAATTAGCGCGAAAAAAATTTGATCAATTTTCAATGAATTTTTGTTTTTAAATAAAATAAAATGATAAATATGAATAAGTGCAGTTTTTTTGAAAATGCAGAATAGTAGGAAAATAATCTGTGCATATTCTTACAAGCTACTAACACAGATAAATCTTCAGAAGCATGAAATGCGATTTTTAGCATATTCCCGTCACATAATAAGTCTGGTAAAAAAATACAAGAATTCATACACCATTTGATATTTGATCAGTTCACATACAAAACCTGTGACATATACGTAGTTAGTGGTATGGAGTTATTCGCTTTCTCTGTGTGTGTGTCTGAGTAATAATACTGAATTTGAAGTGGAAGAAAGTGGAAGCGAGCTGTACTGACTGTTTAAAATTCAATTTTTAAAGTCTTGTCACTTTGAATGCTATTCTGATTACTTGGAAATTGGCTGTAATATATAGTTTTCATGGTTGTCTAATTCCCAGTATGTCTGTTTATTCATTAGCGTGTGTATGTTTGTGTGTGTGTGCGCCCATAAGCTTGACTGCTTACAGATTTTAAGGAAATCTTGTCTAATGCCAAGGTGTCACAATAAATTGATTATAATTACAGAAGGGAGTAAAAGCAGGTAAAATGAAGTTTGATTTATGCTCACTGGATGAGTCGCATAAATTCAGTTATTACTTATGAAACGAGCGTCTTGTTTTATCGAACTAACGCACCTAGTTCTATTCTCACCAAGATATAGTCTACGTCGTTGGTGGCTGGCGGTGCTATTTAGGGTGAGCATCTCATCCGGTTTGTGACAAATTTTCTAGGTATACCTGCATTCTTAGTGAGTGGTAGTGTTTCTACTGACACGGGAACCCAACATCAGTCATTCCAAATGCCAGGGCCTCTGAGCTACTAGGATCACGTCTTTTGTAATAATTATAAGTCGTCATTTATTCAACTTCTCTTGTTCCCGTCAATCGATTTACATTTGCTTGAAAGCTCAATCTGTGTTGACATGCTGGCCTCTAGTACTGATGCTTCGAGGTGCTTAAGAAGTGCGAGTTGGGGGAACTGGTAGCTGTCGTATAATGTTGTTGGCGTAGTCCAATGATAATCCTGATCAGCACGTGTATTCAAGTCGATGTCCCGATTTCAATCTCAACATTGCCTGGTTGTAAAAATCTCACAATTCCTTTTTCCACCTATTAGCTATTTTATTAAGTAATTTATTTTATTCCTCTAAGTTTCGAGTGGAATATATAGCTTGAGGTTAGAGCTTTCAAGTTTCAGTAGTAGTGGTTTAATTTTTACAGGGTGGGGTTGCTATTCTCACCCCCAACCCTCCCTCTTTACCAGCCTTGCTACCGGCTAAGCTAGGTGTAAGAGTTTGTTGGCCGAAGTCCAAACTCCAGACCAACTGCGTGGTTGGCGAGAGTCCTACCACTCAACCACTGAGATTAACAAGTTCCTGTCACTTTAACTATCCTTATTTCTTCTTAGTTTTATCAGATATCCAGTTCACTCTTGTATTTTTATGCAAACTATCATTTACACATTCTTCTGAAGTGTAATTCTGTTGACCTAAACAACTCAGTATTATTATTCAAAAAAACAAACGGATTGAGTGAAGAAATATTTACTTTTCAGTTAGATCCTCATCTCTGGCTCTACTCTAATATATATAGCATTTTTTATTTCAATACACAGCAATTAACCAATCAAGTGGCGATATGTTTGTTAACAATAATAATCAAGTATTGGTTTTGTAGGGATTTTGTTTGATGTGATGGAGGATTTCATTATGAACTGACGTCAGTTAGAGAACCACTGGAAGACCTGGGAGTACTGGAAAGCTGACTGTTTCGTCCTAGTTTGGGACTCTTGAGTAGTACGCAACCGCTCGCAAGGTTCGAACTCAGGACCTTCTGGTTACAAGTTGAGCTCGTAGACCGTTGAGCCATTGGGACTCAACCCAATGGCCCATGATTTCTACCTTCTGTCAGTTCACGACATAGCGCGACCAATTCGTAATGTCTTCTTCGATGAGTTACTGTTTCATCCTCAACCCGTTGTATCCTACTAGTAACGGCTTCCCACTAGAATTAGTCAGTATCAACATGTCATTAGGGTGATAATTAACGAGGAAAATTTATACACACAAATGAAAAGTAGGAATGGTTACAACACGTGGATTACATGATGCACAGTTTTGGAAAAATGAAGGGTAATTAATAAATAAGCATGTGCACAGATTGATTACGTAACAGATTGTTAAAGAAAATAAAACGACTTGGACAATGACAACTTGTATTTAAAGATAACGTAGTAAGAAAAATAATAAAATAATTTGGACATTTATAATTTTTTAATGTTTAGGGGGAGGGGAAGCTAAGTAGTCCTGCTTATTCATTCATGTCACTATGGCCAAGGTAAGGTTTGGCTTCTTCAGGTGGATTCCTGTTTTTTCAGCTGTATGTAGAAGATGAACTCGTAAGGTAAATTAAGATTAGTAGGAATGCGATAAATAATTTTGAATGCAGTATTAACGTCAACCTTATGCTCACTATCTACAAGGCGTACTAAAACAGAGCTACGAATAGATCTTATTTATCTCTTGCTTAACCATGCAGGATAATGTTCGAAAAATACTACGATGAACCTGTCTTATTGTGCGCCCAATATAGCTGGCTCTGTAGCTGCAGTCAAACTAGTAGATACCCATTGAGGAGTCAAATTTAGGTAGTTTATCTTTATGTCTAGGACGTATAACAGAGGTTGTAGTGAAGAGACAACGTACCTCTGCTGTCATGAAAGCTCTTTTAACTGCATTTTTCAGATGCTGTGTTACTATTTCGCTGGTGTTTTATGAAAAATGTTTTTTTTGGAGCTGTTGGCATATTGACTCTCCTTGGTGCTAAGTTCAGATTTTTCTCAAATTACCGAGTAATTCTCCAATAATCCTAAGCTTCTCATTGGGGCAGTTGTTTGAAC